TGTATGTATGTATGTATGTATGTATGTATGTATGTATGTATGTATGTATGTATACGCCTTTTCTGATGTGCGAGCGGGTGCTCTAGCGAAAGAAGCTCCTCAGATCCTTTGATCCGGGGAGCTGGCAACGTTGGCGGAGTTTGTCGGTCATCTCCACCATGCCATCCACGATCTTTGATCGGCACTTGCAGCGTCCACAGGTGATCTTGCTGCCGCGCCTCTCCATTCGATGAGAGGGATGCCCATGCCATAGCTCAGATGCCAGCGGACCCACCAGGCATGGTTCATTGAACCATTTCTCAAAGGTGCCCTGCGCTGTCCTCGCTAAGACATAGCTCTTGCATTGGCTGCAGCGGGCATAAGCACGATCCAAGGAGATGTGGTGCTTGCCGGGGACCGGATCAGATTGATCCTGAATGAGGTCCTGGATGGCTTCCAAGCGCGTCTTGCGCTTGACGGGTTGCACGACTTGCGCAGCACAGTCCATAGTGAGAGCTTGTCTGAGCTCTTGGATGGGGCTCTTTGTACGCAGCCTCTGCTTGCACTGCTGACATGCCTCGCTTTTGCTGAATGAGTGGCACTTTGTTTGTGCCGGAGCCACCTCCTTTGTGGAAGAAGTGGTTCTTGTCCTTGTGGATTCCTTCAATGCGCTCTGCAGCGGCTAACAAGATTGCCTCAGCAGCTTCATCGATGTTGGCTTGCAAATCAAGGATTGCAGTGGGCTTGTGCCTTTCAGCTGCTTGCTTTCCTACCCTCTGCGCACTCTTCTGGAGGTAGTCCCTGAGCAGATTCTCCTTCAGCTCCTTCAAGGTGAAAAGAAGCGGGCGGATCATTTCAAAGTCTTCGCACTCCAGGCCTTGGAAAAGATCAGGGTAGTTCTCGGTGAGGGGTCCAGTGCTTCCAAACTTGATGGTCATAGATGGCCACTTGGACCTTCTCTTTGACGTGGAGCGCCAGGTGCTTGAGAGCATAAAAGAGCGCCCGATGCTTTGTGACTTTGCCTGGACAAATCCCCGTGAGTGAGGCCACCTGTTCACGGTCAGCAATGCGGTGAACGCAAATGGCAAAGCAGAATTTATTATGTCTGCCATCCGCACAGGTAGGGGATTGCGAAGGCGTGACCCCTACCGAAGGATAGAGTCTCCTGGGTGTGCCACTGGCCGGTGCCTTCAAAGGAACCCATGCCAGTCTCGACCTGGTAGAAGATGGATTGCACCATGCCACGATTCCATAGCTCAGGCTCAGTGCCACATTCCAGCCTTTCTTTCCATTGCAGGGATTTCTTTAGCTCTGCCCTTCCAGTACTGACACTGCCAGATCAAATGGATGAAGGTCAGCTCTTGATCACAGAGGGGACACTTGATGGAAGGCTCGAAGGGCGGTCGCTGTCTTGTCGTTGGTGTTCTTCTGGAGCTCTGAACTGACGGTCCAATCTAATGGCCTTTCCAAATCGTGGCAACCCTCGTACCTTGTCAATCGCAACAATCGTTGCCATCTTCAAGGGAGAGGAGACAGTCAGGAATGCCTCCATATCCTGTGCGCTTCCACTGCTTGCCGTTGGAGATTGTCAAACTCGTAGTCCAGCAGGTACGCTTGGAGGGCTTGCATGGGTCCAGACACGACCTGCCATCTGTACTTGGCCTTGAGGAGAGCTCCGAGAGCAGTATTCCAGGTAGTCCAGAACAAGTGTTGGGCTCCTTCACGAAACGCATGGTAGAGCTTCCAAACTGTATGGATGTGCTGGCAAATGATGGAGTCCGCCGGGTCAGGGAGCTTTGGATGAAGGTCGAATACCACATCCACGGACCCACTTCTTTGAAGACGAAGGCCCCTGGCTGCTAGCACCCTCAATTTTTGCCTCCTTTGCGGCGGCAAACCATTGGCCTGGGCTCCCCGCGTCATTACCGGGTGGATGGCTCCTCGATGAAGTCTGTATTTGGTGGTTGGAGCCAACCGCAGGCGGTGCAGCACGTGCAGAATCCCGGTCCTTGCACTACCTTTGTTGAAGCGCTTCTTGACCTGCATCACTCTTCGACGCCGAGTGGCTGTTGCATCGACTCCCAAGTCGCGGAGAACGTCATAGTGTGCAGGATCCTCCGGTGTGAGCAACAGGTTGAGCTCTTTGCTGACCTCTTTGGCGCTGGTGATGAAGCCTGTTTTGTCTGTGTTGATGGTCAGACCCGCAACTTCGAGTTCAGCTTTGAGCGCGCGGAACGCTAAAAGAGCCTCTCTTGCCACATAAGCTGGGTCTCTGCCCTGGATGTCATAGGAAACATCGTCAGGGTGTGTTTGAACCAGCTGCTTCAAAGGCCTGTAAAGGATGAGCTTGGAAATTGCAGGAGCTTGAGGGCACCCTTGAAGAACTCCTCGTTGATAGTGCGTGGGATCTTCACTGATTCCTTCCGCCTGGATTGTTCTTGGGCCAGTGTAAAGATCAAGGGCCAGCTTCAGGTGCAACACTGGGTACTGCAGGATGCGAGCTGGCTCGATGATGTGGTCCAGATTCACAGTGTCATAGAAACATGACAGGTCCGCCAGGCAGGAAACAGTGTGAATGCCCTGGTGCTTGTCCGCTTTGAGCATCCTTCCAATGGCAATGGAAAGGCAATCCTGCTGTGGCCGAGCCTTATCCCAAGGAAGCTCTTCGTCCAAACTGAGTTGCCATCGGTGACGCTGTCCTTGGGAATCATGACGATGTTCGTGAGCGTCATCTGTGTGGGCAGGGTGGCTGTGAGCAGTTGAGCTAATCGGTTCACCGCCGGGTACTCTATAGATGCCTCAGGAAGTCATAGGTAATACCATCAGGACCAGCAGCTTTGTTTGGCAGCTTGCGCAAAACCTTTTGCAGGACACTGGAGTCGATCGGTGGGATTCCAATGGCATGATGAGTTGCTGCTGCCTTGAGGGCCTGGAATCCTCGAATGTGACAAGGACCATCAGATGGCCACCAAATCTCTCCCCATTGCTCTTCCCTAGCTCGGAGTCTGTCCAAAGCTGGTAGATCTTGAAAGGGACGTTGCCAGGGAATGTCCCTCTGGCGAAGATTCCTGAAGAGTCCTCTGAGGCCTTGCGTGTGTGCTTTCTCGAGCCAGGCCTTGAACTCGGCACTACCGGAGCTGAGCAGTGCTTGATCGCCTGATGTTCTTGGTTTTGTATGTATCTCTTTAGCTCCGTGGGATCATTGCAAGGTTCTTTGATCCAAGTGCTGAGAAGGGTGGCAAAGAGATCTTGCTCCATGTCTTCGGAGGCATTGTCATTGAGAGTGGAGAGCATGCTGGTCAGATCCCGCGCCACCTTCTTGTGATGGGTCTGATGGAGGATGTTGACCCTGACGGCCATGCGTTCCCAGTAGGCTAATTGGCCTTTCTTCCAAACTTGCGGTCTGATGTGGACCAGGGGAGCTTTCTTCATCAGGACTTGATGCCCCCTCCCTGTAGTTGGCTCGTGCTCCGTCTGGCTTGCCCAACGGGCAAGATCAGATCCCAGACCAGTGATCTGGATGCCAGCAATGGAGAAGGGTCCATCAGCTTCCTGAAAGGTCGTCCAGCATTGTGGCAGAGCATGAATTGCTGGACCTCAACATCAGGCGAATCACAAGTGAGAGTGATGGCCAGGCCGCAGTGTGGCTTCCATGGTACTTCCCAATCTGCACTGAGTTGAACAGAGCTGACCAAGACATTGGAGATCAGCAAATAGTCCAGCTGGGACCCATGCAAAGTGGCGGCCCTTCAATGTCAGTTGAACTTGCTCATGATCACAGTGGCCGCCAAGGCATCAGGTGAGTTCTGCCAGTCACCACCGATGGCGTTGCGTGGAGACTGCAAGGTTTCTCCAGTTCTGAGGTAGGCCTGGGTGATCAAAATGAGCGTTCCCGCTCTCTGTAGCTGAGTGTAGGTTTGCACATGGTGAGCCAAGTGTCGTTGGCCGTGGAGGGTGAGGAAGCCTCCAGTATTGCCTCCATTGCCGGTGGCCTCCAGCGCTTTGGTGCCCATGTGTGTCTCCTGGAGGAAGAGAAGGTGATCAGTTTTGGCCCAAACCCAGTCTTGTACTTTGCGCCCAAAGTTGGTGACGTTGGCAAAGGGGAGATGTAGCGTCTCATAGTGGCATCTTTGCTTCTTTTGGAGAGCCGGCTCCCAAGCCTCCAGAGTGTCGGGAACCAACTCATCAGCGGAGTCGAGAGTAAGCCACACTTGAACAATCTGCTGCTTGTGCTCTTCAGAAAGATAGGGAAGAGGAACTGGGTACTGTTCATCGTCTGCATACCAGTAGGCATTGTCCAAGCAGTGGATGGCTACATAATGGCCATTTTCAGAAGGAGAAGTAGGATGCTTCAAAGCCGGACAAGGCTCGTTACCCACACGACTTGTATTTGTCTTCGTCCCCCGTCTTGCGTCGCCTGATCACGCTGCTCCTGAGTCAGGTTAACTCCCAAGGTGCTGATGAACCCGGCAACTGCTTCTGGCACCGGGTCCTTCATGTCAGCATCCTCAGAAAGCTGTACAGGATCTGGTTGCTTGCTAACCAGGGACATGTAAGCTGTACTCGTGGTGTTGAGTTCGGCTTGCTCTTGTTCGATCTTGCTTTGGATGCTCTTCATCTCATCTAGAAGTTCCTGGAAAGCCTTCTTTGTGGCATCTATCTTGCTCTGCAAGGTCTGCTTGCGGTGGGACAAATCTCGGAGAGTGGAGACCTGCTGCTTGAGCTTGATGGCCACATCTTTTTCCGTGGGTGGCTGTGGCTTCGTGATCCTCTCAACCAACTCTTTGACGGGACCTGGGCGTTGAGACAGGTTGTCTCGGAGCACATCTTTCAGATCAGGCTCGGGATTGGTGGTTGGTGGGGCAATGCCAAGTTCCGTGAGT